CTGTGTATTGTGTATATGTATGTGTGTGTGTCTACATATTTATGTATAAGTATGGGGATTCCCTGTGGCTCAGACAGTAAACAATCTGCCTGCAAGGCGGGAGACCCAGGTTTGATCCCTGGGTCGGGAAGCTCCCCTGAAGAGGGGATGGGAACCCACTCCAGTATTCCTGCCTGGAGAATCCCATGGATGGAGGAGCCTGGCAGGTTACAGTCCATGGGGTCGCAGAGTCGGACACAACTGAGCAACTGACACTTTATGTATAAGTATATACATGGATAAATGTGTATGGACATGTATGTATGTATGTATGTATTTTTGTGCATATATGTGTATGTCTAGCTGTATATGTGGGTGGTCATGTACATATTGTATTGTATGTATCTGTGTATGTATGTATACTCATGCAATTTTGTGTGTTTACATGTTTGTGTTTCTATGTTATACGTGTGGTACATGTATATGTCTAGCTGTATACATATGTATGTGTGCATGTATATATGTATTGCATGTATGTGTATACATGTCTCTATGTGTACATACTCATGTAAGTGTATGCATATGTCTGTGCATATGTCTGTGTATTACATATGTGATGTGTGTGTGCATGTACATGTCTGTGCTGCTATGTATATATGTGTGTATGTGAGGTGTGCGCGCATGCACACCAGTGTGTGTATATACAGGTATCCTGACACTGGTCCTGTGAGATCGGCAGTTTTCATCACTCTGAACTTGAGGAGTCAGGTGAACAGCCCTCAATTTTTAGTGCATATGTAAACAAGGCCATCTGCACACAAGCCTGTGTGTTCTAATTCCAGAGAACAGCTGGGACTAACGTGCATCCAGATGGGGTCAGACGGAGTGTGCAAGCCAGGGACCCACAGTTGAAGATTACAGTGGAAACAGTGAGCTTCAGGAAGCCGTGCAAGTCACCTCTGGGTAAGAACCCCCAACATCCCGGAGAGACAGGTAGGCGCTCACCCCAGATCTGGAAGACGGCTTGGTCTCCCCAGCATCCACACTTGTAGTGGTTCATGACTTATATGTAACAGACTCTCTTCACAGACTCAGCTCTTTCAAACTAATCCTGCCCTTCTTTTAGCAAGTCTAAAAATAAGGTAATCCCTTAAGGAAAAAGCAGTACTTCTGTATGCATGTGCACACTCACAGGCAACATGTGTGGTCAATCAAGAGAATGATCTTAATATTTAAAATTATTACAGACAAATAACAAAAAGGAACTTCACAGGTGACTAAGTGGTAAAGAATCTGTCTGCAATGTAGGAGACATGGTTTTGATTCCCGGGTTGGGAGGGTCCCCTGGAGAAGGAAATGGCTACCCACCCCAGTATTCTTGCCTGGGAAATCCCGTGGACAGAGGAGCCTGGCGGGTTACAAGCTATGGGGTCTCAAAAGAGTCAGACACGATTTAGCAGCCAAGCAACAATTACAAAAAGATGAATATAAAACACAATAGAGAACTGTGCTCACAATTCTCATATACACATAAAAAAGAAACATCTAGTCAACTTATGAATAAATCGAGCCTCATTGTCAGAGAAGGAAAATATTGAAAATAATGAAATACCACATTTCGTTTAACAAGCTAGTGTATGATGACTTTCATTTCTCTGTCGTGTATTCCTATGCATTTCAAAGTTTCTGCAGTAACTATGTTACTTTTACTACCATCAGAAAAAAGTGCTATTACTTGAGAAAAGTGTTGAGAAGAGATAGCACTTTGAGTTCTACATGACAGGCTTAATAACACTGCATAGATGGACAGAGCTTTCTCCTTGACACTCTGTGTCCAGGTGAGAAAAGAACAGGTGAGCCACATTCCTGTAGGCAGCCCCCTTGGTGGGTGCATCTGACAACCTCTGATATTACCAGAGCTCAAATTAAAAGACGATGTCTAGGTTTGTCATAAACCTAGACAGCCTATTAAAAAGCAGAGACATGACTTTGCCGACAAAGGTCTGTCTAGTCAAAGCTATGGTGTTTCCAGTAGTCATGTATGGATGTGAGAGTTGGACCATAAAGAAAACTGAGCGCCAAAGAATTTGAACTGTGGTGTTGGAGAAGACCCTTGAGAGTCCCTTGGACTGCAAGCAGATCCAACCAATCAATCCTATAGGAAGTCAGTCCTAATATTCATTGGAAGGACTGATGCTGAAGCTGAAGCTCCAATATTTGGCCACCTGATGCGAAGAGCCAACTCATTGGAAAAGACCCTGATGCTGGGAAAGATTGAAGGCAGGAGGAGACAGAGGTAACAGAGGATGAGATGGTTGGATGGCATCACCGACTCAATGGACATGAGTTTCAGCAAACTCAGGGAGATGGTGATGGACAGTGAAGCCCAGCGTGCTGCAGTCCATGGGGTTGCAGAGTCGGACATGACTGAGTGACTCAACAAGAACAAGTCAAAATACTTTCTGCGTCTGAATACAAAGTTCTACCTGTGACATCAGTGTGCTTAGCCTAACAATTTCCCACCATCTTGTCCCAAGGGGCTTAAATTGCAATTTCCTAAAACAATCAAGATTGGAGCTGTGGTTCCAAAGTCCAAGAAAGATTCTGACTGGCTCTCATGGGTGACTATTCCTGGCCCTGTGCCCTGAACAGATAACGAATCTCAAAGAGGATTTCCTGCCTTCCCCCGGGATTGCCAGGCTCTTTTGAGTTGAATTGCAATGTTGTAGCTTTTTAGTTAAAAAATAATTTGACACAACAGAATGGATTCAGTGGCCTACTTACTTTAAAATAAAGAAATATGACAGACAGACAGAGACCGCGCTCCTTCAGCCTCTGGGCCCACCCGGAATTCTTGATCCACCCCACACCCCGAACAGCAATAACCACTCTGCTACCTTTTTCAGATGTGGCTTCCCTGAACCCATGAGAGCCTCGAGTGTTCTTACAGAACTCAACCTTCTGGATGACCACAGTGTTTTAAAGCAGATCACTTGGTGAGTCTGTGGGATCCTTCTCATCTAAGGAAAATTATAATAGCTTGCATGTTTGCCGGGTGTGTGCTCACTAGACCTGGCACATCCTTTCCTGAAACATTCAGGGAAATAAGTCTAAGGGACTTTTCCTGTTGTCAAAGCAGTGGTTTCACCAGGATTAAACAATCCTTAACTCAAGTCCCACCGAAGTGTAGAATTACACCCAGTATTGTATTCGGAGCTCTTAAAATAGGGCTTCATTAATTTGTGACCACTGGTTCACATCCACATCCTTCTCAAGATCGAAAAATATTGTTAAATACTTGTTCTACCCAGAGTTTAACAGTAGGAAAGGAAAGGGGAGAGGATGAGAGGAAAAGAGAAAGGAGGAGAAGCTGTGTGCTCCCCAGCTGAGTGCTCCCCTGTGTCAAGCACTGCTCTTCCCAGCACGTGCCTGACCACCTGCTCTGCGGTCCTCCCACATCGCTGGTCCTCCTGTGTTCAGTAAGATCTCCAGAGAGACTCCAACATACACAGAAGGAGCAGATTGCCTCTACTGAACTCAAGATCCTCTCCACAGAAACCTAGGGACAAAGTTTCCAATTTATCAAGTGAGTTACTGGAAATTTTTTCCTAAGATAATCTCTGAATTGTGCCTTAGAATAGGCACAATGAAGTATTATTATGGGAAAAAAGTGTGTGAAGATTTTAGGGCTATTATTTCATATTAATACCTGCCTCTCCAGAAACATACTTATCTATAATCTTACCCTTATAAGGGGCTTCCCTTGTGGCTCAGCTGGTAAAGAACCCGCCTGCAATGAGGGAGACCTGGGTTCGATCCCTGGGTTGGGAAGATCCGCTGGAGAAGGAAAAGGCTACAGACTCCAGTATTCTGGCCTGAAGAAGCCCATGGACTGTATAGTCCATGGGCTCGCAAAGAGTCAGACACGACTGAGCAACTTTCGCTTTCACTTTACCCTTGTCATCTTGCCTTTATTAATATTAACCATATTTTAACTTTGAGGCCATATGTCGTTACATTGAGGCAATGTTTGTGCTTTTTTTTTTTAAAGAAAGTCATTATTTTTTTTCAATATTTAAATTATTTGTAACTTAATTTAATTCAAAGGAACTTCAGGGGAATTAATGTTATAATTCCCAGTGTTGTTATGGGAATTACTGTCAGAATTCACTGAAATGAACTATGCTCTGGAAAGGATTGGTTGTAAGCTTAGTCTGAGGAAGTCAAACCTAACAGAGATTTGAGCAGCTTTATGTATTCCATGTTCATGGTTAGAATGTGGGTTGTTATAATAAAGCTTTTATGAGAGACAACACATACCCTGGCATTGTTGAAAATTATCTACCATACATTTAATGACACAAAAATCATGTGTAATCATGACCATATCTGAATATTTTACATAAAGTACATAAGTACATGTCATCTTGAACAAGCATGAATTTTTAAAATTTTCCTATACTCTAATGGCATTCACTCCCTTAACTTAGTAAGTCAACCACAATCAAAGGTACCTGTTGTGGAAGATTCAAATCTGTTGTACAGTTCGTGTGTCTCTTCCTCTTCGTTTTACCCGTAATGTGAATGGCTCCAAATTCACAGTCTTGAGCCCTCAACCTCTCAACCTCTGATGTTATATTTACACTGACACGGACCTTGTCCACCCAAACCTGTCACAAGTTAGGATTCTTAACTTCAAGAAATTCAAAAATATATTCCAAAGATCATTAAATATGTCTAGTCCTGGATTAACCCTTTTATAGCTGACCATCCTAGTTAATGGAACATGCAGCTCACTAACCTTCTTTCTTGGTCTCTTGGTTCTTGTTTATCCATCTGCATTCTCACCTGTCTTCTCTATCATGACCACACTGCCTCCATTTCCTTCTTCCATTATTCTGTGGTGTGGTCTCATTCACCACCAGGTCTAAACCCGCCCTCCCCAGAGAGGCACAGGGCGGCATGAGTAAGGGCGTCCAGCACAAAGTGGCCGGGCGTGGGAAAGCTCTTTACTCCGCAGGTCAGAGACTGTCCTCCTCCACCGAGACGCACAAGGCGGCCCGGCCCGGCGGATCTCCCGGCACCGCCACAGGCAGCACAAGTGGGAGCCAGTCTGAATCTCGGCAACACGAGATAAGCCAAACAGACCAAATGACCCAGAAAGGGTCTGAAAAATTAGATAGCTGTTCGCACCTATAAAAGTAGGCTATGACCTATGTGCAAAGCTTAAATAGAGTGACTGCCTTTTAAAATAAAATATTTAAAAGGTCCCACAGACTCCTAACATAATACTTAAAGTGTCCAGGATACAATTTTTTTAAATCACCAATAATAACAAGAATCAGAAAATCACAAGCTGAATGAGAAAAGTCCATCAACTTAGTTAACAATAGGATGAATCAGGTGTTAGAATTATCTGTTGAGCATTTTCAAGCATCCATTACAAAAACGCTTCAGTAAACAATTACAATATATCTTGAAACAAATGAAAAAGCAGAGGAATATCAGCAAAGAAATAGAGGTCATAAAAAAAGAACCAAATAGAAATAACAGAATTGAAAAATACAATAACAGAGATTTTTTAAATAGTAGAATGTCCAATAGCAGAATGGAGAAGAAAGAAGACAGAACTGGGGAACAGAAGGATAGATCAATAAAACTCACCCAGTCTGAACAACAGAGAGCAGACAGACTACAAAAAACATAAACCAAGGCTCAGAGACCTAGGGTCAATAACAAAAGACCAAACATTCATATCAGATCCTCTCAGAAGCTGAGGAGAAACACTGTGGTGCTAAAAGAGTATTTGAGAAAATAATGGATGAAAACTTCTCAGATTTGGGGAACACCTTAAACAGATTCAGGAAGCTGAATAAAACCCAGACACAATAACCTCAAAGTCATATCATAAACTGCTGAAAACTAAGGACAGAAAAACTTGTGAAGACATCCAGAGAAAAACAATACATTACCTTTAGAGAAACAAAAATGACGCATTACCTACAGAGAAACAAAAATGATGCATTACCTTTAGGAGAACATGAATCCCAGGGACAACAGATTTCTCAGTAGAAATCACAGAGGCCAGGAGGAAGTGACAGAATGTTTCTCAAGGGCTAAAAGAAGAGAATTGTCAACCAGTACAGCTGTGCTTCAGGGATGATGAAGAAACAAAAACACTCTTAGATGAAAGGAAAAAAAGAAAAGAACTTCTGACTAGCATATCGACTCTTAAAGCATGCTTAAAGTGAGTCCTTCAAACTTAAAGAAAATGAAAAAAAAGAAGAAATTTTGGACTCTAATTAGAAAAGAAGAAAGAGTGATGGAAAGAGTAGAAGTGTGAGAATATATAATGAATTCTCCTCCTCCTTGTGAATTTTCTAAACAATATATGACGGTTGAAAGAAAAATGGCATACTCAAGTTGCATTTAGATGCGGAGCACGTGAAGGGAACCCAGCGGAAGCGAGGTGCGTCACCCAGAGGGGAAAACGCTGCTCACACCAGGCCATTCCATCTGGCTATTTCTTACGACCAGTGACAACTGCCTACCACGGCAGGAGACACGGATTTGATCCCTGGTCCAGGAAGGCCCCACAGGCTGTAGGGCAGGTAAGCCCACATGCCACAACTACTGAAGCCATGCCTCCCAGAGCCCGTGTTCTGCAACAAGAGAGGCCCACGTACCACAAGCAGGAAGGAGTCTCCGCTCTCCGCAACTAGAGAAAAGCTCATGTAGCAAGGAAGACCTGACTCAGCCAAAAATAGATAAATAAATAAAATAGATTGGAAAGGAGGAAATCAAACTATCCTTGTTTGCAGATGACATGATTTTCCACATTATTTCTACAGAATCCCAAAGAATCTGTAAGATAATTCCTAAAACTCAAAGGTGAGTTCAGCAAGTTTGAAGAAATAAGAATTAACACACAAAAAGCAATCCCATTTGGAAATAGTAACCTTGAGCTACGGAAATCAAATTAGAAACACAGTATCATTTGCAATCTAAAGAAAATGAAATACTTACTTATATACTCTCAAAACATGTACAGGATTCATGCATTGAAAATTTTAAAACAGGGATGAAAGAAGCCAGAGAAGACCTAAGCAGACAGCCCCTCATATGTTAGAAGTCTCAGCACAGCCCTTCCTCTCCATTGTAAGCTCTTCCCCTCCATTGTAAGCTCTTCTCCTAACAGAGTTACCACCACCATCACAGCCATCATGTTATAATTTCTTGTTTTCATGTCCGAATCTATCTGCTCCCACCTGTGGGTAGGGACTGGATTTTTCACTGTTGTTTTTCCAGGGCCTGGCCCAGCTCCTGGTACAGAGGCATTCAGTAAACACCAGGTAGACAAGTCAAGTCAAGTCTAGAAAGCAGTAAGTTGGTCCAGGAGAGAATGTCACGCAGGCAACCTGGGGATGTAGTTCTGGCTTTCAGAAAAGCATTCAGGGCTGGTAGTTCAGACTCAGGAGCCTTCAGAGTCATATGCTTAATAAGACTCTAAATGCAAAGAAATATCTAGAGAATGGAGAAAGAAAGACGGGGTGGGAACCAGAATGGCCATCATCAAAAAAATCCACAAACAGCAAATACTAAAGAGGGTGTGGAAAGAAGAGAAGCTTACCACACTGGTGGTGGGAACGTAAATTTTACAGCCAGTATGGGGAACAGTATGGAGGTTCCTTAAAAAACTAAAACTAGAGCTACCATCTGATCCTGCAATCCCACTCCTGGGCATATATCCAGAGAAAAACATGATCTGAAAGGATGCATACACCCCAGTGTTCATTGCAACACTGTTTACAATAGCCAAGACTTGGAAGCAGCCTAAATGTCCATTAACAGAGGAATGGATAAAGATGTGGTACACGTATACAAGGGAATATCACTCAGTGTGAAAAGAACGAAATAATGCCATTTGCAGCATCACGGATGGACCCAGAGAGTGTCATACTAAGTGAATTAAGTCAGAGAAGGACAAACACCATATGACATTCCTTATACGTGGATCTAAAAAGAAATGATACAAATGAACGTACTTACAAAACAGATGCACAGATTTAGAGAATTAACTTATGGTTGCCAGAGGGAGGGGATAGTTAGGGAGTTTGGAAAGGTCATGTACACACTGCTAGATTTAAAATGGGTAACCAAGGACCCACTGGGTAACCCAGCGAACTCTGCTCTGTTATGCGCCAGCCTGCAGGGGAGGGAAGTTTGGGGGAGAAGGGACACATGTATATGTATGGCCGAGTCCCTTCACCATTTGCCTGAAACTACCACAACCTTGTTCATCAGCTATACCCCAATACAAAATCGAAAGGGTTTTTTCTTCTTTAATTAAAAAAAAAAGATGGGGAGAGGGGAGGAAGGAAGGAAGGAAAAGAGCATACGAAGTACAGAGGTGGGGAAACGGCCTGAGGAGCGAGCAGAAACAGGAAGCAGGAAGAATCCAGGATAAAACTCAGCAAACCAAGCCGACCAAGGGCAGCAACCCTGAGAGTCTGAAGGGAAAGACTGCAGGGCTGGTCACACCCGAGTCGGGCGGGGCCGACTGGCCCTGAGCGGAGGGTCTCAGTGGCTAAAGGCCGGGAAACGGCGCAGCGCGTGGCACTAAGGGAGTGTTTGACAGGAGGAAAAAGTTTGAGAAGAGTCAAACGCTGAGAGGAAGGATGAGAAATCGAAAGCAACAGGAAGCAAAGGGGAAGGCGTTACTGTGGAGTAAGAGCTCCCAGGAGAGGCGGGGGGGGGAGACCAGGGCATAGCGCAGAGGGCAGGGAGCTCCCGGGAAAGGTCAGGGGGACCGCGGACGCCCAAGGCGAGCAGGCCGGGTGACACATCGGTGTCATACTTCTCTCTGCAATCCGTTATTGACCAAAGAGCTGGTCCATCGAAGGCGGGAACTTCAACAGACTGACAAGGTTTTAAAGTCGCAAAGCAAGTGAAGCAACCGGGGAGGGAAAAGCGAAGTTTCCAGGAGCCACTGACAGTTGACCTGCAGTGACCATGCAGACCTCCCAGCCCAGCCTTGACCCTCCCTCGGGCAGAGCGCGGGGTCCAGCGGGGAAGGCAGAGGATGGGAGGGAGCTCCAGGGAGCACCTCACCCATCTGCCCACCTGTGCCTGTACTTTTTCTGGGCTCTTGGATGTCAGCCAGAGTCTACCAAGACCCTGTTCTGCTGTACTTCTGAAGCTACACAATCACTGCTTCCTCCAATGTTCCTATAGTCTAGGAACAAAGCTTATTCATTGTCCTAGCAGCAGAAAAGAGTCCAAAATTCATCTTCTCCGTAATTCAGACTCAAGTCAGCAGGCTGGCAGGCTCAGGTAATTTGGCCAACTCACTGGCCAGGAGGACTCACGATGTCATCCATCATCATTACGAGCCGCATTCACCACGTTTCTTCCTTTGGCATTAAGTGTGAAATGCAAAGAATTGTTCGAACAGAGAGAGATGAACCAATGAGATCCTGGGACCCAAAGAGGTGCTTTGTTAGAAATGAAAACGGAAATATGATTCCGGGGAAAAAGGACTTGGTTGCAACATGGTCACACACTCCTTTCAAAACATGAAAAATAAATTCACCCTCAAGAAAAAGAAGAAAAATGGATCTATCAGATTCATTCTCTCCTATCTGGAGGCTCCTCCTCTGAGCCTGTACATCAGGAAACAGTCTGAAAGAGCAAGGCTGGGCCACCAAGACGAGGCCTAGCTTTCATTGTCACCCAGCCCCGTCCTCTCCTCACTGGTTTCTGCTTTTTAACCCAAATATGATTAAGTGGCTTGTCCCAGAAAAGAAAAAAAAAAAGCTTCCATTCCAGCCCAAATGCAAATAGATCACACACCTGCATCACTACCAACATCCCCTACTAATTTGAATGTTCAGAAATCTGATGGTATTTCTAACCCAGAAGGGAGTAAAAAACATCCTTCAGTGGTTCATTCGTTACAAATTCTTCCCTATGGCCTGTGAATGTACAGCAGAAAAACGCGTGTTGGACAGAGCACAATTATAAAACATGGTCAGAGATTCCGAGGTTTATCAGTCCCAGTCCCTGATGTTACAGAGAGGCTGCCTACAGACCAGGAAACAAAGGTCCCTGAGGTAGCTTTTCAGACCTGGACAGTTTTGACCACATTAGACCACCCATCAGCTGTAACACACAGCAATGCAGGCATCTCGATTGAACTAGCACACAGCAGTTTCTGCTTATATCAGGGATATTTTCTGCACTCCTAAACCTAGATGTGGCTGCACCATGCCCAGGACACAGTGCATACTCAATCACTATTTGTTCAATCACTTCCTAAAATCGATGCAAATGAGAACCCACTTTGATCTCCTTTAAAGTCCCAACCATAAATGATTCTCGGACGTAAGGGGAATCTTGACAACTTCTCCACTGAGGATGACAGTTTGTCAATTTATTATAGAATCATCATGGCCATTTTGGAACCAAATCTCAGAATACTAACAATGGACTTTTTCTGAGTTATGCACTAATTTACATCAATATTCATCTTTTTATTATATGGTTAGTGAATCACTTTAATGGGTAAATTTTAAATTGCGTGAATTCAGAACTGTGTCAGAAAATCCAAAATAACTCTCAGGCAAGATCTGAGGATCTCATCACAAATCAGATGTAAATAACTTGAACACTGTGATGTTCATTTTGAGAAGTTCTCATGTGCAAATGAACCTGATTTGATAAATTGCTCAGAATGTAAAATTATGAAACTCCTCATACATGGGCCAGTTTAGAGAGAGATCAGTAATGTAAAGTTATGATGGTAAGCCTAGTAAAAACTACAATGAATATCATTTTTTTCTTACAGATGAGGGGAAATAAGCTTATTAACAACATAGTAACATTGCTTCATCTCTTCTTCTTAATAGCTTGTAGTCTGTGGATCCAGTGTTGAGTGTTTATCTTGCCATCCACATAACTGAAAAAAAACAGGGAGGTTTTTCTGATGGACATCTCTGCCACCTTCTTACCTACTAAAATCAAATGTCATGTTCGTCTATTAATACTGAGATGGAACAGACAATGGCCAGATAACACCTTAATTTTAGACAGATTCCCAAGTCAAGATGGTATAAAGGCGATATAAAAAGGTTCGTGATGTCTAAAGACATAATGAAATCACTACGTTCTCCTTAACTTGGAAGTAAACAAATCAGTCACATATTACCTTGTTAAACTAGCTGCACAGAAAGGGTATACATCAAAATTTAAAAAAAAAAAAAAAACAGTTACCATTGTGAAAGAGAAAAAAAAATGACTAATTGGGAAGAAGAATGAGTCTATTTTCTAAAGAGAAAATCAAGCTGGAAGCATTTAAAAGGATTTGGTTTCATCCTGCTTTGCTCTCTGAGAACATGGTTTCTCATGAAGCAGGGTGATAAACCCAGAGGCAAAGGGAAACCATTCGAACTTCCTGGGTCCGCATCTCTTACCGGCTGCATTCTGAATGCAATGTGAAAACACTTTTTTTTCTCTTTCCAGATCTCTCAGCCTCCTGGCACATGCAGGAGGAACAGGCAATGCCCACTCCTGAGCGCAAAGAACACCCTCCTCGCCACGCTGAGCAGGGCTCTGAACACACTTTTTAAAGGAGGTTTTGGCAACCAAGCACCGTGACTGGCAAGATCAGCATCTGTCACACTGAAGAAAGGTCGAGAGGAGTTCTGATGGGCGCCCCACGGATGAGGGTCTACAGCTGTCAATGGCTGGAGTAGCATCCTCCTTTCCTGTTAGGAGAGGATGCAGAGTTTTTTAATCTGGGCTAAACTGACACATACTTGAGCAGTGACATATGTTTTCAATCTTTATTAGCAACGTATTAGCCTAAAAGTTTCTCTTCCTCCTTTCTGCCCCCACTTCCCCTTCTTTAAAAATTTAACTAAAGAAAGTGACAGGTTAATTTCAGCTCCGCCTCCACCGGGTCACCCTGGGGTCAGCAGATCAGAAGCATCAGTGGAAGAAGGAAGACAGCGCGCTCCCACTGTGGGCAGGGTGACCCAGCCATCAATCAGGATGCCGCGCATCTGAACAATGACAGCCATCTGTCAGGAAGCGGGAGGTGGGGCCTCATCAACACAAAGCTCACCTGCCGGCGCTAACCCTCGCCTGTAACAGTTCTCATCGCTCACCTCCAAGGTGTTGCTTGTCTCTGCTCCATGAAATAACAGGCCTTCTCTTTCCAGTCTGGTCTCCCCTCCGCGTTCACACGGCCAAGCCGCCTAGAGACAAGAGGAGGAAGAGGGCTGGGTTGGGACCAGACCTGGGAGAGAAAGGCGCAGTCAGAAGCCAAAAGAAGGCACCTGGGTTCACTGACGATGAGAGGTCAGCGGATGGGACCTCTGAGAACTGAGCCACCCACAAGCCAGCCACGGGTGTGAGAGTGTGATCAAGGGTCCCAGACACCCCCACCCCACCCTGTTATCCTCAATGAAGGCATCTCCTAGACAGGAATGGCCTAAGATCTCAAATTCATTTTCCACTTTCTTTCTTGTAGATACAGGTAACTTGAAAATAAGGTAACCACAAAGTTCTTATTTTCTGAGCATCAGAATATACCACCGGAAATCTCTTCTATATACCTGTACCTTTCCTTCCTGGGTCTGCCTCTAACATACAACATTTAATTAATCTAGCCTAAAGAAACCTTGAAATGCTGCCCACAAAGAGAATTCTCCTAGAGAATATTTTGTTGTGAAATGATATTTAATTGTGTTCCCCAAAGGAGGTTGTCACACATTTGTTGCAAGGCAGCCTTTGGGGTCTGTACAAACCCAGGTTCTGGGTGGGGTATAGTTGCTTTGATGGGGCATAAATAGATTCTGCTAAGAAGTTTTAATGGGAAGCCCAGTTTAAACCTGGGCCACCATCCAGAATCGCTCGGAAGTTAGAAAAATTTGTTATTCTTCCACTGTAGGGGGATTAAACACACAAAGACACGCAGAGTTGGCCTTTGTTAACTCCGGGGCAATAATAATGTACCTTTCATCCCCAGGTTGGAAAAGTAACCAAAGGCTGCTAAAGTCATAGGGGGCTCATGGGCAGTAAGACCGAGCCTGGGAGGATGCGGTGACCTCTCTGAGGCCCTGCAGAAGGGGGCGACACCACCCAGGGCTGGAGGGGCCGCCTCGGTCGCGGAGGAACTGGAGACCTCCCGGAAGGAGCAGGTGTAACAGAACAAGACGATGGCCGGTGCGACACGCATGCTGGGTGTTTCGGGGGCCTCGTGCGGTGGTCACTTACACGCAGGAGGCAAAGAGGCCTTGGGGACCAGGAGGTGGAGGGCACGTTTCTCCCGGGGCAGCTGGAGGCCTTTAACTTGACGGCAGCAGGAGACGCTGCCAACCGGCGCGCATCTGGGGCCGTGCCGCAGGGTCCTTCCAGGGTCCCAGCTTGCGGCCAGGCGCAGCCTCCGCCAGGCGCCGCCCCCACCAGGCACCGCCTCCGCCAGGCTCCGCCTCCGCCAGGCACCGCCCCCGCCAGGCGCCGCCTCCGTCTGGCATCGGGGCTGCGATGGCGGGGTCACGTGGCTGCTCCCGTGCGGCGGGGGCACCAGTGGCCTCCAGCCTCCGAAGGGCCTGGCAGAGCGCAGCACTTCCGTGAGGGACCAGACATCCTCAGTGTCGGCTGAGCCAGCGTCTGTGTTAAACACAGATGTTCAGTCCCTTATCTGCATCTGCAAAATCCCCAAAGATTGGAAAACCGCAAATATTTTCATAGCTCCTTCCATGACAAAATCTGATCTACGCTTAACTGACGTGAGACTCCATTATAGTTCTTGTTTAACCCTCGGAGCATGAGCACGCCTGGTTTGGTGGCATCTAGACTCATGTATTGGATTCTGGAGCAGCCTCCGACTCCGACATGCTGCTCAGGACACAATGTGCACTGTTCCACCCTGCACAACCTCAGATTCTGAATTCCAAACTCATCCGGCTGGGTGACCCCAGATCAGGCGTCATGAGGCCTCAAATAGGAGGAGGGTTTTGTCAGTCTCCATCTAGACACCTGCTGACATTCCTGAGGTTGACAAAACAATAACAAAATCGTGCATAGCTCACTTTGTTGTTTCTGGGAACCCCCATGTTGAAATTGCCCATCAATTATTGTTTTCTCTTCTTTTCTGGATAACAAGCAAAGGTCATGGTTAATAACAGTTCTGCCAGGAACGCTGTGTTAATATCAACTCAGAGGGATAAAAGCTCCCTGGGCCCAGGACGCAGCTCTGAGAGATGCAGCCACGGATGGCTTGCTTTCCTGGAAGCTACAGATCCGCTTGCAGACCCTCTGGGGTCGGCACCCTTGGAGGAAAGGCCAGAAATCGGGTGCATATCCAAGTCCCCAAACCCTCACACTTTCCCCTCTGATTTGCAAAAGTCATTGTCACCCTTGCTCTAAGGGGGGAAATAAAATATAGGCCTGCCCAATTCTAATTCCCAAGAGCTTAATCTGTATCACACAGAATTAAAATATTGATTTTCCAGGAGGCCACCAGAAGATAAAAGGTGGGTTTTGATGCAAGAGTCTTACGTGTAACAGAAACCAAATTTCACTTCTGGTGATGCTTGTCTCATTTACCGGGAAAGCACTTGTCCCCAACACTTGCCCTATCTCCTTTTGTTTCACAGAAATTATTTTTAAAGCTTCATATTTTTAAATCCACCACCCGGCTGCCTGGGTAAGATTTTTTCCCAATCACAGGGCAAATGATCTTTTCCAAAACAAAATCCAGATCCATTAGCTCTTTAGGTTTCCTTTATTATAGACTTCAAAAAGGCACACACAGCACTCATCTGAATTTTAAAAAATAAATCTCTCCCCCTCTCTGTCTCTCTCCCTCAGTCTGTCTCCCTGTCTCTGCCTCTCTGTCTCTCTCTCCTTCTGTCTGTCTGTCTGTCCCTCCCTCTTTCTGCCTGTCTCTCTGTGTATGTGTGTCTCTGTCTGTCTCTCCCTCTTCTGTCTGTCTCTCCCTCTTCTGTCTCTCTCTCCCTCTCTCTGTCTCTCTCCCTCCATCTGTCTGTCTCTCTCCCTCTCTCTCTCCCTCTCTCTGTCTCTCTCTGTCTGTCTCTCCCTCCCTCTCTCTGCCTCCCTGTCTCTCTCACTGTCCTCCTCTCCCCTCGTCTCTCTCCCCCGCCACCCTCCCTAACTGTCCAGCCTCTACAAACCCAGGACTGTGAAAGAAACACCCGTCTATTGCTCTGTCAAATGTGCCTGCCTAGGATAGCGATTGGGTTTATAGAAGAGACAAACATTTCAGGCATGCCATTCTGGGGTAATGAAGCATGGCAACAAAATATACCTGTGCAACATTTGATAAAGATGAGCTGACACGCCAGTCCAAATAGGTTCTTTTGTGTGTCTGCACGTGTCTACCATCATGGCCCTCACCTGAACACACGAAGGCAGCGGCAGCTGGCAGGGCCCAGGAGGGGAGCTGCTCGGCAGTGAGACGGCGTGCGCCTCTGGCCTCGCCTTCACTCCCACTGCCCCTAATTTATGGTAGGTGTCCTCCCTTTCTATGGAAAAAAAAGTGGCTCGATTTTTCTTTCTCTTGCTATCTAATTCCTGTCACAGGGCACGGGAGAAAGACAATGAGCTGGGTCCCTCGGTGTTTAGCATGGGGTCTTAAGTTAGAATTCTCCTTGGTGGGGTTTTTATGGCTTTCATTGTGGTTTGATTAATGCAAAGCAAAATTAAATCCTACAGTTACACACGGGTACATCAAGCCAGGAGCAGGCCCACTGTACTTCCTGCTTTGGTTTACAGAGTGCATCTTTTGTTACTTAATCTTCACTCAGAGAAGGTGGGGTGGCAGGGGGCTGGGGGAGAGAGACTGTAGACCAGCTGAGAAGTGATCCAGAAGACGTAGGAGATCCAGTGACCCACCTGGGAGCTCTGCAGGCATTCCAATCGCTCGTCCACGTTGGGGTTTTCGAGCTTCCGTCCGCTTCCTGGCTTGGGGACAGCCACGGCAGCCAGCCCAGGTGAGTCTCTGCAGGTGCCTGGTGCAGAGTGACACCCAGACAGCAGGGAGGGTGCTGCCCTGCCCCCTGCTGCTCTCTCTGAGCCTGACTTCACAAAGGCCTGCACGGAGCATGGCCTTGATGCTATTTATAGAGAAGCACGTCCTATTTGTAAGGCGACGCAGTGAAACCCAAAGGGGCATAATAGCCACTCTGTATTATAAAGCCCTTCTGCTGAGCGAGCTGAACAAAGTGCCGTGGGTGATCTGATTTCTTTCTTCTCCCCGTGGCAGTCACAGTGTTTGGCACTCCGCACGATGACAACAATGGACGCTTTGTGGTGTGACGACCTCTCCGGGAACCAGACACACACACACGTTCTACTTTTGTTTCATTACCAATCCGTCATCACACCCGCTCCCAGACCTAGAAACCTCAGCTAACCCTTACATTCACATGGGCTGGACCTTCACTTTGCCTCCATCAGACGAAGATGCCTCTGAACTGTAATTTCCATGCAAAGTCATCTTGGGAAAGGATCCTTCTTTATCCCCCTCAGAGCCTGTACAATAACAATACAAATCTTGACTAGAGAAAATACGGAGCAAACATGTGGAGCTTTCCTGGTGGCTGAGACAGTAAAGAACTGCCTGTAATGCAGGAGACCTGGTTCGATCCCTCAGCTGGGAAGATTCCCTGGAGGAGGGCATGGCAACCCGCTCCAGGATTCTTGCCTGGAGAATCCCATGGACAGAGGAGCCTGGGGGGCTAGAGGCCATGGGGTCGCACAGAGTTGGACCCAGCTGAGCGACTTAGGGTTGGCATATGCATGTAGGGTTTGGTACAGGAAGGCCGATTTGGGCGTCTGCCTGGCCTCTCCTTAACTGGGGGAAATCTTAACTGATCTTCTAGAATATTAGAATAGACAGGGACTTCCCTGGTGGTCCAGTGGTTAAGAACTCTCTTTCACCAGTGCAGGGGACATAGCTCAATTCTTGGTCCAGAAAGCTCCCACATGTCTTGGAGCCACAGAGCCCGTGCACCACAGCTAGTGAGCCTGTGCTCTGGACCCCGGGAGCCACGTCTGCTGAGACCTCGCACGGCAACTACTGATGCCCTTGCCACCTAGGCCCTGCGCTCCGCAGTAAGAGAAGCACCGCCACGAGAAGCCTGAGCCCTGCAACTGGAGAAACGTCTACAGGCGGCAGTAAAGGCCCCACGCAGGCAAAAAGTAATTAATTAGTAATAAAGACAAGCATGCTGTTGTTATTTACTCACTGAGTCATGCTGACTCTTTTCAGACCCCATGGACTGTAGACCACCAGGCTCCTCTGTCCATGGGATTTCCCAGACAAGAATACTGAAGTTGGTTACCATTTCCTCCTCCAGGGGATCTTCCCGGCTCAGGGATCAAACCCACATCTCCTGCATCTCCTGCATCGGCAGGCAGATTCTTTACCACTGAGGCACCAGGGAAGCCCAAAGAAAAGCATACAGGTTTCTTTTTAAATATTAGAAAGATTCCGGGCCAACCATAAGAGGAGAAAATCCAACAGACAGTGTGTATAAAGCACTCTGTAAACTGCAAAACACTATACTCAGGTTCATTTCTTTTATAAAACTTTTAAGTGGTTTACCTAGAAAAAAGCAAATTCTAGAAGTAATCACCAGAGAAGGACATGGCAACCCACTCCAATACTCTTGCTTGGAGAATCCCATGGATGTAGGAGCCTGGTGAGCCGCAGTCCATGGGGTCACTAAGAGTTGGACACAACTGAGTGACTTCACTTTCACTTTTTACTTTCATGCATTGGAGAAGGAAATGGCAACCCACTTCAGTGTTCTTGCCTGGAGAATCCCAGGGATGGCGGAGCCTGGTGGGCTGCTGTCTATGGGGTGGCACAGAGTCAGACACAACTGAAGCGACTTAGCAGCAGCAGCAGAAGTAATCACAGAATAAAGTTGTGTTAAATCTCAAAAACTTGGTGATAAAAAAGTGGGAGAAAAGAAAAAACAATAAACTCCCAAATTGTATTGCTTCTGGCCTTACAGAATCTGAGTTTTATAAAATCCCCAGTTACTTAAGGCTTCTGTATTGTCCAAGCCATTTCACTGACGTCATTCTTTTAAACTGCAAAGGAATGGTGAAAGTATCCCTTGGATTTGCAGCAGGGAGAGCTGTCTAATGGAAGTCATTTGGTGAGTTGACTATTATTTGTTGGTAATGAGAGACATACTCCTGAGAGGAGATGTATTTGGGGGGAAACTTCATAAACTTATCACAAAATCAACCCGTTTCTTTTTAATTGGAATATAGTTGATTTACAATGTTGTGTTAATTTCTGAGCAAAGTGACTCAGTCACACATATACATGCATTCTTTTTTATATTCTTCCATTATGGTTTATAACAGGGTATTGAATATAATTCCCTGTGCAATACATCAGGATCTTATTGTTTACCCATTCTACATATACTAGCTTGCATCTGCTAATCACACATTCCCAACCTCTCTCTCCCCACCCCACCTCCCTTGGCAACCACAAGTCTGCTCTCTATATCTGTGAGTCTGTTTCTGTTTCGTAGCTGTAGATAAGTTTATTTGCGTCATGTTTTAGATTCTGCATATAAATGATATCATATGGTATTTGTCTTTCTGTCTGATTTACTTCATTTAATATGATAATCTCTAGGTTCATGCATGTTGCCAAAAATGGCATTATTCCGTTTTTTATGGCTAATATTGCACTGTGTATGCATACCACATCTTCTTTATCCATCCGTCTGCTGATGGACATTTCGGCTGTTTCCATGTCTTGGCTATTGTAAATAGTGCTATTATGAAGATGGGGTGCATGATTCTTCTTATTACAGTTCTATCTGTAAAATCACACAAAAATAGTGGAGCAAACAAAATTTCCAAGGTAAGTTGAAAGGTTCCATTATTTCCTTTAGTATCTTGCTCTAAGTCAGATTTATTGAGATATATTTCACAATTATCAAGTTTGATAAACACATGCACTCATGGACCCATCACCAGAATCAAGAACATTTCTGATGCCCTTCATCCTGCTTGTAGCCAGTCATGTCCCCGACATCATGGACAACTCCTGCCCCAGTCCCTAGCCACCACTGACCCATTTCCTGTCTCCATGATTCTGCCTTTTCCAAATGTTCATATAAAATGGAATCAGAGCATGTACCCTTTAAGTTTGGCTTCTTCCACTCCAAATAACCCACACATGAGAGTCCTCCATGTGTCTTGGGAATCAGTAGTTCAATTTTTCTGCTTTTGGGTAGTATTATATGGGTATCCCATGGTCTATTTATTTATGAGATGATGGATATTTGGATTGTCTCTAGATTTTTCTGACTATGAATGAAGGAGCACACCTCTGCCTAAATCCCGCACACCTGCAGCTCCAGAGCACACTGTCCTCTCAGAGTCAGCACAGGCAAGTTTTCCTATGAGTGTACGTTTTCATTTCTTAGTTAAAGTCCTGGCAGTGAGACAGATGGTGGGTTATACATAGTGGACATCTCCTTTCAGAAGAACCTGTTCAATGGTTTTCCAAAGTAGCTGCACCACGTTGCATCCCCATCAGTAACTTCTGAGACCCAGAGTTGCTCTGTATCGTCGCCAGCACTTGATGTGGTTTGCAGCCTTTGTAGTGGGTGTGCACGACTCACTCATCACGGTTCTGATTTGTCTTTCTCTGGTGACTGAAGATGCTGAACATCTTTTCATGTGCTAATTTGCCATCTGTATACCTTGTTTGACGTAGGCTATTTCAAATCTTCTGCCCAAGCTTTTTACTGAGATGTTTCTCATTATTGAGCCTAGTCTAGATCCCAGCACTTTATCAGATGTATGTGTTAAGCAAATTCTCTTCTAGTGTGTGGCTTGTGTTAACAGTCTTCTGATGAGCAGACGTTTCCAATTTTGATAAAGTTCACTTTATCAAGGTTGATATTATGACTTATGGTTGTTGAGAGGTTGTTAGTATGTAAATTAATTAGAAATACTCATTCATCAATTAGAGAATCCTAATGGAGTCAAGGCTGTGGTTTTTCCAGTGGTCATGTATGGATGTGAGAGTTGGACTGTGAAGAAAGCTGAGCGCCGAAAACTTGATGCTTTTGAACTGTGGTATTGGAGAAGACTCTTGAGAGTCCCTTGGGCTGCAAGGAGATCCAACCAGTCCATCCTGAAGGAGATAAGTCCTGGATGTTCACTGGAAAGACTGATGCTGAAGCTGAAACTCCAGTACTTTGGCCACCTGATGCGGAGAGCTGACTCATTGGAAAAGACCCTGATGCTGGGAGGGATTGGGGGCAGGAGGAGAAGGGGACGACAGAGGATAAGATGGCTGGATGGCATCACCGACTCGATGGACATAAGTTTGAGCAAACTCCGGGAGTCTGTGATGGACAGGGAAGCCTGGTGTGCTGCGGTTCATGGGGTTGCAAAGCGAGCGACTGAACTGAACTGAACTGAATGGATCACAAGAACACCTCAATGTAACATTTTCTCTTCTTTTTAACAAATTTGTGAAATTCAAAGACCCACTTGAGGAACATGGCCTGAGGGAGTGCCAATGGCATAACTGGTGCTTTAGGGCCTAAAATGAAACTAATCCTACCCTGATTATTATTCCAAGTATTTGGAATTTGGCGAAACAATAAAGCGACAATAGATGACTTAGTTTTTCTGCTTTTTCAGTTCCTGACCTAATGAACTTTGAAAAGGAAGAAACTGGATATAAAGAATTTTTTAAAAACTCTATGAATGACTAATAGGCATATTTAATGAATAATTCATATTTTAACTATTATTTAACAATTGATTAATTAATATTTAAGATCCCTTGGACTGCAAGGAGATCAAACCAGTCAGTCCTAAAGGAAATCAGTCCTGAATATTCATTAGAAAGACTGATGCTGAAGCTGTAACTCCAATATTTTGGCCACCTGATGTGAAGAATGGACTCATTGGAAAAGACCCTGATGCTGGGAAAGATTGAAGGCAGGAGGAGAAG